TTTTTTAATGTTCCAAGTTCAAACAAAGGGTTGTGATTGTGACTTGTGAGTAGTCATTAACATTGCAGGAATATTAGTTATGTGGAGACATTAAGTAAGCATTATTTTACATTTTCATTGAACACCAAAGCAAATGACATTAGCATACTTCAAAGAAAACGACCTTTAGTGTTGATTAAGCAAATGGCCTTTTGTATGCTTCAAAGCAAATGATCTCCAGTATATTGACCTTTTAATATATTGAAACCAAAAGCTTCACAAAATCATCTTTTTTATGATTCAAAGCAAATGACCTTTGGTTTATTGAAAGCAAGGTCACCCGTTATAGCTATGGAACGGTGATTATTTATATTATAAACAATAATGAAGAGATTGACGTACCAATAATATAATAATATATAGGAATTATTGTGCTGGAAATGTTATGTAGAGGCTAGAGCTTACCATTTTAATGAAAATTAGTCTTTAATTTAATCTCTCTAACCAAATGGCCCCTTGAGGTCCTTAGGATGGAGTCTATCTAGCCTAGAGTAAAAAACTGAAACCCAATTAAGTGCATGTTATATCAAATGTTAGGTTTGTGGCCCAGCAAGTCTAAACACTAATTGATTAGGCACACCAACTCTAAAATATATAGTCTTGACTTTATTTATTTAGTTAAATGAGAATTTATAGCTATTAAGTTTAACTTCAATTGATAAATTTGAGTTTGAATTTCAAAAATCTTAAGCGTTTTAACAATAGTGCGTATTTATCAGAAGAATAGTAGTCCTTCCATTTATTTCATATGAACACAATTCTAGAAAGAATCTATGTTTTTCGCCTCAAATATATCTATGAATATAAGGCATCTCATTAACATTTAAATTAAAAAAAAAACAAAAACATCGATGTTATGCTAATAAAGAAAAATAAAATAGAAAAGCGTGATTTAAATTGGACGGATGAAAAAGAATCAAAGAAAGGGAGATTCCATTTTTTCACCGTTGAATTTTAGATGGAGGCGTCATCAGTCGATGTGATCGAAGGGTGCGTTTTGACGGAGAGCCATATTTTGTGCCACTACTTCACCAACTCACCTTGTTTTTATATGAAAACCTACCCCTTTTTTAACCCTCTCTGCATTCTACTCACTCGCATTCTCTTTCAGGCAAAACGTACAAATTTCTCTCTCTCCAATTTCTCTCGACCCCTCCATTTCACTTTCCCAGCTCCGCCGTATTTTTCTCCTGAGGTAATTCCATCTCTGCTCTTTAGATTTACGTATGTAGTTTTGTATTTTCTCTCTGCTCATTTTGGATCTATAGTTTTATCTTTGAACTGCTTCCTTGATTTCATCTAGTTCAGGTTCGGATCAGTTACTGGATTTTGGCATTCTGCTTTATTGATTCTGTTTGTTGAATTCGATAGAATGCCGTAGCTCTCATGTAAATCAACTTTTTTATGTGTGTGTTTTCGTCTATCTAGATCTGCTAAACCCTGCTGTTTTTATTTATTCGATATGATTCTGCTATTTTGATTTATTTGATATGATTCTGAGTTTGAAATCAAACTAGGAGTAATCGGATCTCTCCGGCCTGCTTCTCTATATGAAAATATAATGATGCTTTGGAATCGATGTTTGATGTAAACTTGTGCAGTGATAGCTAAGGGAGTGATTGTGCTATTTCCGATTTTCTAGTTGTGCTTGTCATATGTAATTTCATACTTATAATAAGCCTGTGCGTCCGGTTATTCATTTTAATTTGCTCATCCACTATTGCCAGCCATTTTCCATCTCCCACTGAAATAGAGAGTGAAACAAGGATATGATCTAGTAGTTTGAGGTGCCTCTGATGCATGTGTTATATTCTAGAGATACACTTTTGCAGTCAAATTTAACCTTTCAGTTTCTTCTATTCGAAATATTGTCTATTTTCGCATATTCAAAAGTCAGCTTGACCAATTTTCTCAAGCCGAAATTCCTTGGTTGAAAGTAACATTGATAGTTTTGGAAGGAAAATATTTTGGTTTTAATTCCTGTGCCATTTTGTGATGGAATGCCCCTGCATCACTGTACTGCGTTGGCCTTCTGTGTCATTTGCAATCTGGTCTAATATCCATTTCTCTATCACTTATTCGTATTCATTGTTCGCTGAAGAATAGAGCAGAGGCTAAATGTATGACGTAGATGCGTCTGTCATCTTGTTGGAGCTGCCGAGTCCTCTATTTAAGTGGTGACAAGGTTGCAGCAAAGATATGTGTGCAGTCTTTCTTTTCTGTGACAAGGTTGCAGCAAAGATATGTGTGCAGTCTCTCTTTTGTTTTTTGGTATTAAGAACTAACTTTAGCTGTTGGGAGCAGAGCACCATAGCAGTGTAGATCAGGATTTGTTTGTCTAATCTTCATAGCAATACCTGCCCTCTCGTTTTTGACAAAGCTCGGCTTACTCTCTGGTTTCTACTGTTAGTAACCCTGTTCCAGATAAATTAAGTTTTTGGCTGTCTATACAATGTCATCTCTTTTAAGAGCGAAGAATCAACCCGTTACTATCTGCACTCTTGTTCTGAAACAGTTTGGCATACTTTCTAGTTTATTCAGTTGATTCCTCTGTGAATAGGTATTGGTTTTTTTAGGCCTACTTCTTAGTTTATTCTGTTGATTCCTCTGTGATTAGGTTTTTAGGATTTTCAGATTGGTTGAATCTATGCAATTACAATCTTTGCAAAACAGATACTCCCCCCATTCATCTCTGCATATTATTCTAAGAGCCCATATGGTCATGATTTGATATCAAGTTGCTTAAAGTTGAAATGCAATTTAGATCTCAAAAGGTGTATTTTTTTCTCATAAACATGAAAGGCCCCACAGTTTTTTAAACTATCAAAACTTCTCCAATTCTTACCAGCTTACCTAATGAGTTTAGTACGTGATGCCTGAGTTAGACGGGAGTCTTGGCTTTAAACTTTGTCAAGGACAAAAGCCTGGTATTTAATTGGAGACAGTTTCAAACTCTGCGCTTCTGGCACTCAGTGATTTCTCAATAATAATAAAAAAGGATCTTCTCCTTCCTACTTTACTTTTTACAGCGCTATCCTTTTTAATGCAATATCGTTTTCTTAAAAGTGCTTATATCTCCCTACATTACTAAATCTAAAACAGGCAATTGAATCTCATCTTTCAAAATCTTGCATTATTTTGGTAATGATGTCAATGGTAAGGGTAGAACAATGGAAGTGATACTCTAAGGTTATAATACAGCTACGAAACAGTAAAATATTAGTACTTGAGTATTATTTTAGAAACTAGAACTAAGATCCCTTAAATGGTAATCTCAAGGGAGACTCCTCGAGGAAAGATGCCTATTTCATTTAACTTGATGTGCATCATTTAGATGCTAAGTTTTTCTATTATCGGAAACTGAATGAAGCACATTACTGATTCTTTCTTCATGCAATGTCACATGTTTTTATGTAACAAGTAGGGAAGATTCTTAATCATGCATCAGATGTGGTATGTTGTGTACTAAAAAACTGTTGATAGAAAACTAACATCATCTTTCTGCTTTGCAGGGTGTGAAATGGCAGCTACATCAGCAACTACTCTATCAGTTGGCTCAACCACATCTCTTGGTTGCAAAGGGAGCTCAATATCACAATCAAAAGCCTTTGGTGTGAAATTCAACTCCAAAAACAACATTAGGAGTTTCAGTGGTTTGAAGGCTGCGACAACTGTAAGCTGTGAATCAGAATCGTCCTTTATTGGTAAAGAAAGTCTTGCTGCCCTTAAACAATCTATTACTCCAAAGGCCCAAAAAGGAAACAGGGGATATGTTAGTTGTGTTCAGCCTCAAGCATCTTACAAAGTGGCTATTCTTGGAGCGAGTGGTGGTATTGGCCAACCTTTGGCTCTTTTGGTCAAGATGTCACCACTAGTTTCAGAGCTGAACCTTTATGATATAGCTAATGTCAAAGGAGTTGCAGCTGATCTCAGTCACTGCAACACTCCCTCCCAAGTTTCAGATTTCACTGGAGCATCTGAATTGGCTAACTGCTTGAAAGGTGTAAATGTGGTGGTCATACCTGCTGGTGTTCCAAGAAAGCCAGGTATGACACGTGATGACCTGTTCAACATTAACGCAAACATTGTGAAGACATTGGTTGAGGCTGTTGCTGATAACTGCCCGGATGCATTTATCCACATCATTAGCAATCCAGTCAACTCCACAGTGCCAATTGCAGCAGAGGTGTTGAAGCGAAAGGGTGTTTATGATCCGAAAAAACTTTTTGGAGTTACCACCCTAGATGTAGTTAGGGCAAACACATTTGTTGCTCAGAAGAAAAACTTGAGGCTTATAGACGTAGATGTGCCAGTTGTAGGTGGCCATGCTGGTATTACCATTTTGCCTTTGTTATCAAAGACAAAACCATCAACTACTTTCACTGACGAAGAAGTACAGGAGCTAACTGTGAGGATTCAAAATGCTGGCACTGAAGTTGTGGAGGCAAAGGCTGGTGCAGGGTCTGCTACACTTTCCATGGCTTATGCTGCTGCAAGATTTGTTGAGTCCTCTCTCCGTGCACTTGATGGAGATAGTGATGTCTATGAGTGTGCTTTTGTGCAGTCTGACATATCAGAGCTTCCATTCTTTGCGTCAAGGATTAAAATAGGAAAGAATGGGGTTGAGGCTTTGATTTCATCTGACCTTCAAGGACTGTCTGAGTATGAACAGAAAGCTCTGGATGCTTTAAAGCCAGAATTGAAGTCTAGCATTGAGAAGGGTACAGGTTTTGTTCAGAAAGAACCTGTAGCTGCTTAGGATAATACAAGCTGAAGAAACGATGACAGGAATAAAGCAATTTAGCAAAATTCACGTTGATCAACATATTCCAGTTTTGCAGTTGAGTTGAAAGGTGCTTCTGTTACGGAGTAACAAACAATAGGATGTAGAATTGTATCTCCTTTCTGGTATTGGTATGTAACTCTCAAGTGACGATGTTGAGGCACTCTTGTCATGTTCCTTTTTTTTTGGGTCAAATCAACTCTTTCTATCTCTCTTGAATCTGAGTGTCATTTTGGGGATTGTGTGATGAAAAATCATGAAGTACTTCGATTTATTATGAAACTTAGCTATGCTAAAAGTGAGTATTCTAAACCCGTTATTCACTTTGCTTACCCAATTTTGTTCTTCAAATATTGCACAAGATTATTCTCTCAGAACTCCAAAAATGTGTCTCCCAACCTGAACAAGATCATATTGCTGTCACGAAATCACAATCTCCAATTAGAGTGACATATTCTATAGAAATCTGTCTATTTGACTAGTATGTGATATTAACCAATTCTTTACTTGGGTCTGATACTATGGAAGAAATTTAACAAAAGAAAGATGAGGGGGAAGGAATTGAACAGTCCTTCGATAAGAACTTTATTATAGATCACTTTGCCAGTTTGCGTCTGTTCTATGTAAACCTCCCTCTGATCACAGTCTTCTGCAGTCACTATCTTCCATCTGGAAAGTGCAACAATTTTCTCAGCTTAAAACTCTTTCAGTTCAGTCCATAAGCACGGGAAGTTTCGCCTTTATACTGATCACCTGTGTTGCTCGGACCATTCAGAAATGTCAATGGTTGCGTGTCGAATTCACCACAAGTAATTTTTGGAGAATCCGACACGGGTGCGGCATCAAAAGTGAAGAGTCCGCGCAACTGATCACAACGCAGTAATAACAAAATCAACTGCCTCTGTAATTTGACATATATTATAGATTCTCTCACTCTGGCTACGAGTCTAGTTAAATGTAGACTCAAAGCTGTATTCAGCGATAATGGAATTTTCTCTATCCTGTATGTGTAGAGTTCTACTAATGAATGATTAGTTCGACTCCACATTCGATATCAATGTCATCATCCTCTCAAAAGATAAATCTATTTAAGTCCAACTTCTGTTCTGCTCCAGAATTTACTGGCTAAACATTTTACAGTTACCAATAGTCATTGCACGAGCATCGACCTTCTCTGAAATGATGGAAGCGGTTCCGATCTCTAATGATAACTTCTCGACTATAGACTGCTGACAGTATCTTGGCAAAGTTATGGCAGTCAACACAAATCCGGAGGTCTTTTGCAACTCTAATTGACGTGCCAGGTGGAGTTGATAGAACCGCAAAAGCTATAGCCAATTTCTCACTGTGATAAGATAATGCAATCTGCTTGTCTTCTGTACCTACATTGTGCAACTCTGCCACTGTCTCAGCAACGTATCCTGCTATCCTAAGTTGCTGATTGATCTCGTCCAACGTCTCGTAAATTTCTGTCTTTCTTGGGTGCGAAAAGTCATTTGCAACAAATTCATGTATTTTTCCTCTGAACTCAATAGTACTACAAGCAGGGTTGGTTTGGATTCCCCTGTCTTTCATCATTTTTCTCACGTTTACTACCTTACCCCAATCACCAAGCGATGAATAAATATTCAACAGTAGAACATAATCTCCAGCTTCTTGTGCTTTAAGTTCAATCAAACGCTCAATGACTTGTTCTCCTAGCTCAGCTTGGTGATGAATCCTACAAGCTCCTAGTAGAGTCCTCCATATTGTTGCATCTGGTTTGACCTTCATCGAATTTATAAGGTTGTAAGCTTCATCAACCATACCAGCACGACCCATTAGATCAACCACACACCCATAATGATGAATGTTTGGTGAAATCCCGAACTCTTTGCTCATACTATTGAAAAACATCCTACCCTCATCAAGTAGTCCGGAGTGACTACAAGCAGAAAGAACACCAGTGAAAGTCTGATCATCAGGGGAAACACCTACTCTTTGCATCTCCCGAAATGCCTCAATTGCATCTCTGCCATAACCGTTGCTAGCCAACCCCGATATCATGGCAGTCCAAGACACCACATCTTTTTCGGTCATTCCCTTAAACACCTCAAAAGCCTTTTCGAGGCAACCACACCGAGAGTACATAGTTATAAGTGCATTACAGATATTCATTGCCTTGTCAAAACCATGTTCTTCACAATATCTATGAACTCTCTCACCAAATGCCAATGCATTCAAATTTGCACAAGCCTGAAGTAACATCAAACAAGTAACATCGTCAGATTGGCAATCATACGAGCTCTGCATCATATCAAATAAACCCAAAGCATCCCGAGTTCGTCGGTTACGCATATATACAGAAATCAACACATTCCAAGCTATTGTATCTCTATGAGACATTTCATCGAACACTTTGCAAGCTTCGGTATACTTCTCATTAGATGAATAAAAATCCATCAATGTGGTCAGCAGTCGTCCATCAGATTGATGCCCATCTCTCAAAATTCGAGCATGAATCTGTAGCCCACCAAATAAAGACCCAATCTTTATACAACAATTCGTAACGAATGAAGATGTTAGAGAATTCGGTGACACACCCGACCTTAGCATTTCTTGATACAACATAAAACCATTTCCCGGTGAATCACTCATTCCGTAAGCTCTAATCATGATGTTGTACTGGAAAACATCGGGTTTTCTAAATTTTGAAAATACCTGAGAAGCATAACCCAAATCATGGAATGGAGGAAGAGCAATACCAAATAAGAAAGGTGAGAAAAAAATTGGATCTTGAAAGAGAGACTTGCGGATGAGATGGGCGTGGATTTGTAGCAAATGAGGCTTACTAGAAGTTGACTTGATAAGCGAAATCAAAGGTTCGGTTTTCTCGGTATGCAAGTGACTGGTATGATTTGTGGGTCCGGTAAGGCATTGGCGGTGGTTGTCTACACGCACCGCCGCATGAGAAGACAGCCAACGGAAGGCGGACACAGAAGAACAATGAGGAGAGATTGCTCTCATTCTCTAATTTGTTATGCCTCAAACTGGTAAACAATGTGTTGTTGCAAGCATGGCGGAATTTAACAAGTCCAACTACTTCACTAGTCACGGTTCGAGTCTGAATATGAAAGAAAATATTATTGAAAGCGTTATTCTAATATAGAGTCTAACTATCTATTTCGCTCTTTTTTGAATATACAATATGTTGAATTACTTGATATTTTTTTGATAAAATATACGGATCGAATTTCAGCTCGTATAGATGACATTATTTTATCAAGATGAAGCAACCGTAATTGCTAATGTAACATATAATTAATTAAACTCTTTCACTTGAATACATTATTTTATCAAGATGGAGCAACCGTAATTGCTAATATAACATATAATTAATTAAACTCTTTCACTTGAATATATTATTTTATCAAGATGGAGCAATCGTAATTGCTAATGTAACATATAATTAATTAAACTCTTTCACTTGAATATCAATTGACCATAACAAATCCAAACAAGAAATAATAATTTGTAAACCTTGCGGCTGATTTATTGTTCATTTTAGTTATCGAAGGAAGTCCTTTGTGCGTTTCTTTATGCAGTGTCATATCCAATTAACCATTAGTCAAATAGTATGAAATGTGATAGTTATGAAACATTCCACATATCAGATTGAAAAAAGGTTTGTAATTATTAGTCGAAAGGTGTGATATATGATTAATACGAGTTATTTTATATATCAATAAGGTTACTGTATTTTGTAATTATTAGTCGTAAGGTATGACATATGACGTGAAATATGAACCATATATACATAAGGTTACTATATTCTGTAATTATTAGTCGTAAGGTGTGACATATGATGTGAAATATGAACCATGTATACATAAGGTTACTATATTCTGTAATTATTAGTTGTAAGGTGTGACATATGATGTGAAATATGAAATATATATACATAAAAGTTACTATATTATGTAATTATTAGTTGTGAGGTGTGTCATATAGTGTGAAATATTATTGATGTGAGTGACTCCATATATATATACATCAAGTTACTATATTTTAATTTATTTATCATAAATTTATTAATATACCATTTCTGATATGTAATGTCAAAAGAACATCTTTTGATCCATTTTCCTATTAACTAATCTGTCATTCCTGAAAAAAATTCTAAACTAACTTCTAGCAAACAAGCATTTCACACATGATTTATATAAAGAAGTATCACATCTCAAATGGATGTGATATAGGCGATTTATATCGACACAGAACATTAGTAATTGATTTCAAGATCTGATCAATTACACTGCACTAAAATAACTTTACTGTTGCGTCTAACATCCTTCTAACCGCGCTAATAATAACATAGATGCTAACCAAAAAAAAACATAAAAAAAAAAAGTCTAGTCATGCAACGTTGGACTATTGTAAGAGAAACAGTCAGCAAGAAGAGACTTAATCTCTTCATCATCTTCTTCATGTTGATCACCAATAGCAACATTATCATCAAGAGAAGGAGTAGTAGAGCAATAACTACCAAAAGAAGCATGTAATTCTGGCATACACAAGAGTCTTCTCCTCTTGTAGTTAGCCTTAAAGCAAGCTTGCCTTAATCTCTTCGTCTTCTCCTCAAGTTCCATGTCTGGTATTTCTTCCATCTTCTTCTTCTCTTTCTCTAATAGCTTTATCACATCCTTCAACTTTTCTTCCATACCATTTCCTCCCACCTTCTCCAATTCCTGTATATATTGAAAAAGATGCACCTTTTTGGCCATTTACTATGTTGTTTGGATTCTTTCAAAATGTCAGCGAATGCATATGAAATACATCAAAAGTAGAATATTTTTAAAATATTTGATAAAGATATAACATTGAAAGTAAAGAGTACTGCGTGCGATTATGTGTATATAAAAGAGAGTGAATTCACCTTAACATTCTTGATTAATGTTTGAAGACTCATCAACTTCCTATGAGGCCATCTTCTAATACCCAAATCCCTACATCTTTTCTTCAAAAGTGTCAACCCGATATTAAGCTCCTTTGCAGCTCGAGTAATTGGCATATAAAAATACTTTGAAATTGCATCTCGTGATAACATTCTTGAACTATTAATCTCCTCTCTAATATTATCCTTCTCTTTTTCCGTTACAATAATTTCCTCATTACCCACTATTTCTTGTTGATTAATGTTATCACATAACAACACTTGTTGGTGCCCATTTCCGATTAATTCACCACTCATTTCATTCAACATTCTAACTTCATTTCCAATTTCATCATAGCATAACTCTCCTGCACCCATAAAAAAAAGAAGAAATTACTAGTCAATATTTTTTTTATAAAATATAATAATACTATAGTACAAAACATGATCATCACCTGGGGTAAGGCTATAAAAAGATGAATAAAATGGATCTTCGAGAGTACATTCCATTTCCATCAAAGGATTAGTATTTTCTTGAATAGACAAATCATACTGATAGTCGATAGCATAGTGTCCTGAAAATTCACTGTTTTTAAACATAACATGTTAATATATATGACCATACGTTAAATAACAACAACATATTCATTTAAATGAATAGTGTTTACGTAGATTTTATCATTATCTCTTTAACTTAAATTAGAGAGATTATTTTTCACATATCAAATAATTTGAACCAGAAAAATTATTTTCGACACATCAAAATAAAAAAGAAAACATAATTTCTTGAAGTAGATAAAATTATATATAATGAATTATCACCTGAAATCATCAAGAGAAGGGAGTTGTGGTGGAAGAGATAATAAGTCTTGATGATTATCTTGCTTTGTCATGATGAATTCAAAGTTTGACTGATCACTTCCCATATTTGGCATAGAGATGAAATTATAATATATATTAGTATAAGAAGATTAATTAAAAATGACCTCTTTAGGTTTATTTTAGTTTAAGGAGAGGGAGAAGATAAGGCATGGATTATAAGTGAAACTAATGTGAAAGTAATTATTAGGATTAATGAGTGCATTGATAATCGTGCGCCGTCATTATGCATGCATGTTTAGCATTAATTAATTACATTCATCAACATTGGTATTGATTGATACGTTTTGTGCCCACGTACACCTGTGATAAAAACTTGTGATTATGATTTCTTTTTGGAATTTGATCCTCAATTTTTACTAAAGGATAAAATTGTTGATTTACATCTTTATGTCGAAAATTAAATAAAAGCACCTTGAAAATTAAATATTATACAAAGAATAGTGATCGATGTAACAGAAAGTTTAATAGTTCGTTCGATATTAGAAAAATAACTTAAGTATTAGATTCATTGGAACTTTCCATCCCATAGGGACTAGGAAGTCTAATTATCTGTTAATTTCTTTACTCCAACTTTGAAGGGAGAGTGGGATCGCTGGTTGCTGCTCTTCGATCAATTTCATATTAGTTATCTATTTTTTCTTATATATTGTTAAGAAATCGAACATCTAAAATAAAAATAATAATTTTACTAACTTATACCTAAAAACCCCTTTTCGAAACTTTATAAACTTGGTCATGCACTTTTCAAAAAGAATTAATCATAATAAAAAGAATGGGGGAAATTTATATATTTTTGTAAAATTTTACGAATGATCTGAGATATTAATATGGACAAACTGATAAGGGAGTGCATGCCAGATTTTATTTAGTAGTTGTTACCATGCACTTTTTTGGGTTGGATATTTAATCATGATATATTTATGTAGTGTTACTATCAGGTTTAGGTGACCAAGATGATTGAAATATGAAGCACATTTCCCCAATATAATTATTAAGAGTTGCTTTTGATTTGTAATTACTCTAGCATTAGCGTGCAGTTATATTTTGCTCCAGCCGCATTAAGCTTCAGATCGAATCTGCCTAAAAAGAAGTAAAAAAAAAGGTTTAGAATTTGCTTTAAAACAAAATCCCCAACCAGGTCATTATCTTTTTCTCTTTTCATTTTATAAATTAGAGAAATTTTAATTTATAGCAATATAAATTATATAATAGAGCTATGGTCATGTGTTCCCTGGGAGTATTTGACTTATGATATAACGTAGCAATCATTCATATTCATAAAAGAAGAGATTAAAGTTTCATCATTCATTTCATTTAGGATCATATTATAACGCTTAGGTAAGTTACGATTCAATATATTTATTTAATATTCACTCTAGAGTGTTAATGTCAAATTTATTCCAAATGATACTTCTAATCAGTAGTGGTGGGCTACTGCTACTTATTGTAGCATTTATTAGTTATACTAACTATATCAAAACAGTATTTAAGTTCTGAACAACAAAACGACCATCAATGGTTGCAGAGGGATGATCAGATTAACCAAACTTCCCAGGGAGTTTCAACAAATTAACCAGATTTTGGTAAGATAATGAATGATGCATCGAAAACTCTAACCAGCAAAAACATTATGTCATCATTACGGATAATAGATTTAAAATGACCAAGATTAGGATTAAACAGCACTTAAAAACACTGATCAGAAGAAATTGGAGATCTACTGTCGGCTGTTTTCAGTATCTTGACCTCCCTCCTCTTCCACGGCCACGTCCATATCCACCTCCTCTTCCTCCACCATTAGCATGATGTTTTGTTTGCATGTTTGCCGGAAGGGGTTGAATCTGATCAACACACTTCCTAAAGCTAAAATCATCCACAGTATCGTCCTCCCTAACAAGAAAGAAGCAGCGACTCTTGTATTGTGGATGAAATCGGATTTGGAAAGCACGAACTCCTGAACCAATCTTCCTTTCTGATTCTGAATGACCCTTCTTAAGTAAGTCGAGCAATATCATATGCTCATACTGCAATACCAAAATAAATCAAACATTCAGATAGTCAGATTTTATGCGGAAATGAATCAGAGTATCAACATTCCTATGCAGTAATAACTCCTCGTGGTTATGACAAATACAAATCATATACTTTTGCTGAGAAAAGATGCTAGTTGAACCCCAAAAAAATTCAGATAGTCCAACCGCCAACAAAGCACAATGAATTCAAATTTTGGAGCCAAAAAGATAAAAGCTTTGAGGAACATGAATGTAGGATAAGAAGAAAGAGAGATACTGATGATAAATATAAAGGAAAAACATGTATTGATTCCAATCAAAATCAAGCAGAGTACCATCTCTATTGTAACCAAATAAGTACAAATTGAATAACATATACCAACAGATTATCCAATTAACACTAGTACTTATTCGTAGATGTTTGTTGTCAAAATACACATATCCAAGAAAGGATATACAATCAAATACATTTAGGTGTTAAGTTTTAACTTTTGGAAGGCAATCACAAGTATCTAAGTCATACATGAGTCAATAGCCACTTGAAAATTATTACAGACAGCAATATATAATGCAAGTTGATGCTTCAATGAAATGGAGGGTAATGCTTAAATGTAAAAAGTTTTTAAATTGCCAACTAAAAATGCCCCAAATTTCTATAGTCCATTCAGCTATGCCAGAGTATAACAATTAAGCCAGCAGGCTAATAACTAACTCTTGCTTCGCACAGTATTGGAGATATTGAGTGATGTTTTACCTTGTTGAGATTGAGATTGACAGACCAGGAATGAAGGAGTTTGTAAAAGTAGTTAAACATCTCCACGGAGGAAACGAAACTCTTGGACCCAACGCTAACCGGGACAGACACATCTTTCTTTTCCTCTTCCACAGACTGGTCAACTCTCGGTTTCTTCGTATCCTCTCCATTCTCGTCATCCTCCGGTACGTCTCCCTCCTCCCTTGGACGCTTCGAGCCGCCGTTGGCATCATTGGCGGCTGGAACTTCAACGTCCATTTTCTGAACAGAAGTTTCTTCCTTCTCGGCCATTCCTAGGGCTTCGTTAGTTACAGGTTCAGTTTCCGCCATTACTGAGAACTGCCAACTTCAATTTTCAGAAAAAGAACCCTAATTGTAGCTTGAGAGTTTAAAAAGTGTAATCAGCAGGATTAGGATACTTTGCAAGCTGCGGAAGAATTTGACAAATAGCCACTAATTAAGTGTGAGTCTACATTTCAAAACTATTCTGCATTAATCAATATGAATAAGTGGGCCTTTGGCCCGTCATATTTCTAATTGGGTTAAAACTTTGGGAAAATTACCCAACAAAGCAAACTTATACTATTTAATTACTTATTATAGCTATGGTTTGCTATAATTATCACTCGCCACTAACATTATACATTAATTATGTGGGCTGACTTTGAATTTGTACAATTAGTTATGTTTGTATATGTATAATTCGCCAGAATATAAAAATACATATGTATAATATACAAATATTTGACATATATACATATACAATTTACCTCTCTCCCACTCTCTGCCTTCTCTCACTTGCCCGTCTCCTCTCTCTCCCAATCTCGCTCGCCCTATATACAAATGTATGTATATAATATATAATTATATACATATATAATTTATCTCTCCTCCCTCTCTCGATCTTGCTCAGCTCTCTCCTTCCTCTCCCAATCTCGCTCACCTCCCTCCTCCCTCTCCCAATCTCTCTTCCCATATATACAAATACATATGTATAATATACAATTATCTAACCAATATACATATACCATTCACCTTTCTCCCACTCTTTCCCCATCTCTCTTGCCTCTCTCCCCTCTCTCCCAGTCTCGCTCGCTTCTCTCCTTCATATAACATGTAGTTACAAACTGTAATTATCAAACTATAGTTATGTAGAGTAATTAATTATTTTTAAATGACTATATGTGAAAACTTAAAAGGGTGACATATATCAACTTATAACTTATCGTAAACATTCATATTAAAAAAGGGACCCATCTACAAAAGAATCTATAGATAAATGGCACCAAGTATAGTCTACGAGATTTAATTAGCGCAAAATCTTAGTTGCTCAATTGATTGACCATTTAAACTTTTATCTTATCGTCTCATGTCCTCTTCCCCTGGGCCTTAAAAAAAAGGAGATTTTATTGGCATAAAATTATCATATTTTATTTTAGAACAACTTTCACATATGACAAACACAATAATCATGTTGGTATGCTATAGTTATAGTTCATATAATTGTGTTCCATAGCAAATATACTATGCTATTTCGCTATAGATTTATACAAAAAAAGCTAGGCTATTTTGCTATACATGTATACAAAAGAAACAATTGTATGATTCACTGGCTTCCCTTCATTTCTCTGGCAGGTCATTTGTACAAATTGTTGTTAGCCTTTCGTTTGTATAAATCATTGGCAACTTTTCAATTCAATTTTATGTGTTTGTATATTTGTATAAGTTTTAAATTTGTATACAATTGAATCGAAATAAAACGTTGATATATTAAATATCACACTCTCTCTCTCTCGCTTTATTCAAATAGAAATTAAACATTGTATTTTGTACCATCTATTTTTGTATAAAGTGAGAAA